TTCTTCTTCTTCTTCTTCTTCTTCTTCTTCTTCTTCTTCTTCTTCTTTTTTTTTTAACAAACTGGATGATGGGTAGATTTGCTATTTAACAGACTGGTTTTTGTTGAGCAGACCTAGATTTCTGATTGGTGTCTGTCTCACACAAAACTGCTTCCTTAATCATGGCTTGAAAAGATGTTATTCCTAAGAAGATATTATAGAAGCCATGGAAGACAGCACTGACCAAGATACTTAGGGCCTAAAAATCGAGGGAACTCCAAGATGGGTAGAAACACAGACATGGCCAGAAAGAACAGAGCCTCTCCCTTTTTAATGTTAAATGCTAAGAACTGTTTTTAAAGCTTCACTGATATCCAGCCACCTTCATCAATATCATCAATCGTGGTCTAGCCAAGGTCCCAGTATCATCTCTCCATTCTTTCCTATTCATGCTGGGTTTTAGCAGAGGACTGGTAGAGCTGGGGCTAAGGGTGAGGTGGTATGATTTCTTCCAGCAACATTTGTAAACCTCCAGTGGATGGATGGTGAGGTTGAAAATATATTTTAAATAGGATTAAAATTCTTGCTATCTGCATATTTGGGTAGTCCAAGTTTTCCTAATCTTTAGACAACACAGACCTCTGAAAGCAGGGCTGATGTTTGCTAATGTAGCCTACTCAGTACTGGACATACATGTTTAATGAGAAATACGTTGACTGAGGAGTGGCCCTGTCCTTGTTTCAAAATCTCTGAATGAACTGCTTTACAGACAAACTTCTCAGCCACATGGTGTTGAGGTGGAAACCATGGAAGCAGTACCAATGACTGTGAGGACCAGCAGCAATGTTGAAGACACAGGAGCCTAACCATGTGACCTCAGAAACTCAGGGAAACCTGCCCAGCTGAGGGGCGATGTGAAGGCAGCTCTGTGTTAGCTACGGAGCACTTGGACACAGAGAGCCAGGCACCAGGAGAAAGCCTACTGTGATAACATAAGTCTCTGGTATAAACTGTTTTACTATGCCTGGGTGCCTCCCATATGCACACCTGGCTCTCCAGCACCAAGAAGGACACCACCCTTCCTCCTGGCTCAGCACAGAAGCCAATTTCCCAAACTGCAAGCAGCTTGAGCTCTCTTGGGAGTCTCATGGTCTTTACAAAGGCCTCTAACTTTACTACGACATTAACTCAAAACAGCTCATCTGTTAGACTCTCTTTTCTGTTTCCTTCCTTGGTTTACAGTTTACAGGGATTAGCAATACACCCGAGGCTCTTATTGCACTCCAAGGCTTCTCTGGTACAGGAGATGTCTGTGAAGAAAACGGCAGCGTTCGAGCTCCTGAAGACTCGGCTGTTGCTACTTTGCACGTATTAGAAGAGATCAGAGAGAGACAGAAGAGATATTGAGCCAATGAACACTTTTGTATAGAATTCATGACAAAAATTAAACTCAGTGACTTTATATATATGTAAAATTGTATTTATACATTTATACTTCCTTTTCTATCTACATATTGTATATGATTTATATTTGAAAGTGCCTTGTATAATAGACAAAATAAAAATATCTATTTTTAGTACAAAAATACAATAAATTATCAACAACAGAAAAAAAAAAAAAAAGTTCCACAGAGGAAAAAAGGAGAAAGAGGAGTGATAAGGTGTCTAATGTGGTTGAACTCAGGCTTTCCTTCACTAAAAGAAGAGTGGAAAAAAACCCTTGCTCAGAATTCCCACAGATCACAGCTTTGGTGGGATTTCTAACCAAATTTCATGGTAAGTAGAAGCAACATAAGCTAAACAATGACAGGTCTGAGCCCAGCTAGCATCAGATGCATGCCTTGGTTCTATTTATTAATTTATTACTATTATTTATCTAAGGCAGCACCTCTGATAGGCAAGCATTCTACCACCGAATGCTTGGGACTCATATGACTGGGACTCATATCCCCAGTCTCCTAACTCCTACATTTACAAGCAAAAAATTGTAGCCTGGAGAAGCTGGCCTGCGTAGTGTCACATAGCTCAACAAATAGCACCACTTGGACAGAACTGGGGTGGGAAGTGGGGTAGGAGAGGTTGTGAGTCAACTGCCAACAGGCCTTCTTCATGCGTGGTAAGGCCTGCAGAGGGTGCGTTAAACACCTGAGTCACAAGCTGCCATGCCTCACTGACTTCTGCCAGTCACCAGTTTATGTGGTTTCTTTCATCAAAACTAAAGGAAGCCTTTCCACAAAGCTCATGGGCTTCCTCACAACATGGTCATCTCCGTCTAACTAGACTGTTTGGTTTTACATGGTGACCAAAACAAAGTAGAATCCCCTTTACTCTTTCCTTCTCTAACTGCCTGACTATCCTCACCCTGTACTTGTTATTACAGTCAAGGTGTAATGTCTCCTCCTCACCAAGTCTGGGAGCATTTGAGGCACCCAGGAAAGAAACCAAAATGGCCGCTCTGAGGATGAAGTGGGGGGAAGTTTATTCCAAACTGCCAAGGCTGTCTCTCTGGAAAGCAGAGAGAAGCAAAAAGAGAAAAAATCTTGAGGGTTATAAGGAAAAAGGGTATCTGTAAGAAAGCAAGCCTGCGAGCTGGAGGGAGGCTTTGAAATGTGTAACAAGTACTGAGAGTAAGGATTGACGGAGCCAGCATGGAACAACTTGATGTGCTGATGGTCACCAAAAGAATATATGTTAATGGGAGAGCCAGTGTCCCTCCTTATCAGAGGGGTAAGGGAAATAACTTCTTTTGGCAAGTGGAAACCGTCTTTTATCTAACAGCCAGACATCCTCCTATAGTCCAGGCTGAGCCTATTTTTGACTGAGCCCATTTAGACTGTCTTTTGGAGTTTCAAGAATTGTAATTTCCTCAGAACTTGACACAGGGGAAGTGTCCTCACATTGTTGGACTACCTCATGCCCACTAAAATAAAGGTCATTTGCTCCCCGGCCTACGTTACCTGGACTAGGCCTATCAGACCATCTCACCTAGTACTCTGGGTGACTGAATATGGAATGAGTGAAATGTATCAGAAGCTGTCCAACAATGACCTTGCTACCAATAAACTGGCTGGGGTTGCTTTTCTCTAATAGATGTGTGGGGGTTTGAATGGTAATAACTTCCCCCCCATAGGGTTATATATTTGAAGAGAATGCTGAGTGGGTTATTGCTGTGACACACCTGTTCATGTTTTGTTTGTTTGTTGTTGTTTGTTTTGTTTTGTTGAGGAATGTGAAAGACTTGTTAGGAGACAGTTTTCTGGGTCCAGCCATACCAGGAGCAAGTTCCATCCTGCTGACAGGGTCAAAACTGAGTTCACATTCCCAGGCCCTGGAATCCACCTCTTAGCCTGCTTCTTGAGGTGTTTCATGTTTGTCTGTTAATTAGTAAAGGATGTAAAGAAGTAAGTTGCCATTATCAAAGCTAAGGCACACAAGTTGTTAATGTGTTGCCTGTTTTGAGTTAAAGCTTGCCTGCTCCTTTGTTCCCCTATCATTCTAAATTTCAGGCTAAAGCCCAAGAGAGGACATGACTCAAAAACTGAGTCAAGGGACCTAAAACCAGGGAACCTGGAAAGGTCCAGTCACCCAAGTTTACTTCCTTGCTCAACCACTTGTGTCAAAATCTGATTGGTCAGTGCAACAGCCTACCCCGCTCCTGTTCCCATCCTTGAAAACTGTTGTACAATCTCCCTTCAGGGCAGCGGTTCAGATTCTGAACTGGCTGCCTCCCTGCCAGAGCAGAAAATAAAGCTTGCATTTTAAGCTTCTATCTCTGAGGTGAGTTTTCTCAGCTTCCTCCCCACCCCCAAAAGTGGGGCTCAATGGGCCATTCTAGGAGGTTCTAGGAAGAGAGTAGTACTGAAAACATCAACTGTGGAGGTCCAGCTCAAGAGCTTTCAGAGGGGAATAATAGCGACTAGGCTAGAACCCATTCTGTGGCATTCTGACAAAGAGCGTGGCTGCTTTTTGCTCTTTTCCTAGTAATCTGCCTGAGGTTGAATTGAAGAGTTTTGGACTAATTTCAATATCAAGATAGCCTGATATTCACTTTGTGGCTTGGTTATTAGTAATCACTCTTATGCAGATCTACAAGCAAAAAGAGCAAGCAGGGGAAACAACACAAAATGGACAGCTTGAGGAGAAAAAAGTACAAGGAAATGCTGGAGCCCTGGCATGTGTGGAAAGAGATAAGAAAAAACTGAGATAAAGGGAGTACTCTCCTCATGATGACAGCCCACACATCTAACCTTGCAACTTGTGAAAAGAAAAGACCTAAGCAATTACCCGAGCCTAACAAGCACAAACAAAGCCTATGCAAATGTAATTCAACTGGGATGGGGACAGCAGGGCTTGGCAGCTTTGGCTCAGCTTTAGAGTCATGAAGGATACAGGAGGAAAGGGATTGTGGAATCTTCTTCTGAGGTTAAAGAAAGCTACTGTGGCCAAGCATAGAAGCTGAGAGGCCATTTCAGGAAAGCGTGAAAGTGAAGCCTGAATTGTGTGGGAGAACCCCAAGATGTTGGAAGTAGCAGAGCTGTGGGATACCTGCTAAGGAGAGCTGCAGATAGGGAGCAGAACCAGCCTAGGAGACAGAGTATGTTGTAGGTAGCAAGGGTGGAAAGGTGGAGCCACCTAAGCCCTTTAACATCACAGATGGAGTTGCAGGCCTTAGAGTTTGTCCTGCTAGGTTTGGTCTTGCTTTTGTCCAGTGTTTCATCATCATGCCCTCATTCTCCCTTTCGGAATGGTAATCTATATTCTGTGACATTGTATGTTGGAAGTAAGCAATTTGCTTTTTGACTTTACAAGGGGTTGCAATTAAAAGATTGCTTTGAGTCTCAGAAGGGACTCTGGAATTTAAAACTATGTTACAAATGTAAAAGGCTATGGGAACTTTTAAAGTTGGACTGGATGCATTTTGCTTTATGACATGGCTACAAGTTTATGGGAACAATGAAGTGGAATGTGGTGGCTGAATGAGACTGGCCTCCAAAGGCTAATGTATACAAATGCTTGGTTCCCAGTTGGTGGAATTATTGGGAAGGATTAGGAAGAGGACCTTATTGGAGGAGGTGTGCCACTGGGGGTGAGCTCTGAAGTTTCAAAAACCCACCTGTGGTGGTTTGAATGAGAATGGCCCCCACAGGCTGATAGGGAGTGGCACTATTAGGTGTAGGCGTGGCTTTGTTGTAGAAAGTGTCTCTTTGGGTGAGCTTTGAGATGCTCAAGACTGACCCAATATCTCACTCTCTTCCTACTGTCTGCCTATTCGAATGTAGAACTCTCAGCTACCTCTCCAGAACCATGTCTACCTGCGTGCCACCATGCTTCCCACATAATGATACTGGATTAAGCCTCTGAACTGTAAGCAAGCCCCAATTAAATGGTCTTCTTTTATAAGCGTTGCCATGGTTATGGTGTCTTTTCCCAGCAGTAGGACACTAAGACTCCATTCCCAGTTAGATGTGAGCCCTCAGATAGTGTTCCAACACACCTGCCTACTAACCTGCTCCCAACCATCACGGTCTCTGAAACTATAAGCCCCAATAAACTTTTTCCTCTGTAAGTTGCCTCTGTTGTGGTGTTGCTTCACAGCAGTAGAAAGGAAATAAAACAAAACAGAGATCACAGGTAGATGAGGAGAAACTTCCAGCACCTGGAGTCATGGGCTCTTGAGTGTCCAAAGCCTAAGAAATGGTCCATGCATTCAAGCTTACAGCTTTGAGCTGCAGAAGGTGGAAGCCGGAAGTCTCATAGCTTTAGTCCCCAGGTTGGAAGCTTATTTTTTTTGGCACTGACCACCAGTGCCAGTGATCCCTGCACATGCGGCTATCTAATCTTTGCCTTTCAGCGGCAGTGGGTGATGGCGGCAGACAGCAGCAACAGCAGGTGGCACCTTCTAAAGTTACATAGCTCTTATCCAGGTCTCCAATGCTGTGACCCTCAGCCCATCAGGCCTTTGGTGCCAGGGTCCCCAGCCTTGGGCAACACATAGTGCTACAGCTCTCAGGATCCAACTGTCTGAGTACGTTAGCTCTCTGAGGTCTCTAGAGCTCTTCCAGCGACCAGCACACACCACCCGTCTGCAGGGAATAATCTAAAAGGAGCAGTAGTGATAAAGGTAGAGACAAACAAGAAAGAGATTACCCCACTCAATAAAGAAAGGACAAAGTGGTTGGGATGTGAGCTGTTAAGCATGATGAGCAGCCTGGGTGGATGCAGTTCATGAGGGCCTGACCAGTGATTCAGAACTTTAGATTTCAGGCACACACAAGTGAATTAGCCATTGGTTATTGCAAGTTCAATCCGGGTTCTTGACTAGACCTGAATACTTGTCTTCAGCATTGAAAACCTAACATATTTTCCCTTCTACAAAAGTGCATTCTGGGAGTTAAGAGCCTGTTTGCATGGCATACCAGCTCACAAACCATTTGTATCCTATCCCTGTGTCATTCATCTCACGGATTAGAAGACTGTAACAACAAATGCATGTGTGGTGGTTAGAATAGGAGTGGCCCCATAGACTCAAGGGTTTGAACGCTTGGCC